ACAGAGGTGGATTTATAGCAGTTAAACGCAGTATAATAAAGATTTAAATGAAGTGAACAAGTTCTAATACAACTGGCAAATTTTACCCCTTCATTTGACAAACTGTGATGCATGCTTATACAAAATGTATATTTACATTAACATATTAACGACAGAGTAGATCATTGCAAGTGAATTCAGGAAACGGATGATTTCAGTTGGAAGATAATAACTACAATTACGTTGCATAAATACATTTGTGCATGTGAACAGCAAGTAAGGAGTGTGAGAAATGCACTGCGAAATGCGTTACTAGAATGCTTGAATAAGGCCGCTGGTAGGAATTACACTCTCAACAACGTATATTGGTAATGTCAGCAAATAAAATACAAAGCAATACACCAATGATACCGGTAAAGATATTCTCTCAGATCGGCTTAAACGAAAACTGAGCTGAAGACACATTATGGAAAATGACACATTATCGCAACAAACAAGCATTTGAAATTATTTGTTGGGCGACGAACCAGTGGATGTACCTTCGCTTGCTAGTCTGAAATTAAAGGAAGTTACGTAGACTTGGCCAGTGATGGCGAGGCGCAAGGCAAAATAAAATGATTAATATTTAAAATATAGCAAATTAAGAAGGGAAATTGATATTCAGTGCCTTATTTTGGCATCTTCGTAATTCCTAATATGAGGGCTAAAGAACTCACTTTACGAAATCCTTGGCTGAACGATCTGCGGAAATGTCCTCCTCGTAGTCGATATCGTCTTCTGTACTTTGCTTTTTGGTAACTACTGCGTAAATGATATCAAATTAAGGTTGAATTTTCACCTTTGTAGGTATCACAGCTTCCATAAAGAGGCTGAAGTTCGGCTTCGGCATGGCAGCTGCTGCGTCGCCTGATCTCCTCTTCGATTCGATGCTCCACTTCGATCAGCTCTTGCTCAAGGGTATTCATCGAGATCTCTTTTTCATTGTTACAATCTTCAATATCGATGTCTTTCTCTCTTTCTAGGTCTGACGCTAAAATACATCAATTTAGCTGCATTTACTTACACTGATAAGCTTTGAAAGAATACCTTGAGCACCCTCAGGGGCGTCGCCGTCGGCTTCCCGCTTGTTGCTTTCCTCCAGATGTTTCATCAGCACGGCGACAACAACATTTACGAGGACGAATTGTGAAATTAAGACGAATATCACGAAGAAGCAAGGCGCAAGTATGGGATCTACGCAGCAATTAGTTTCGCAGTGATCTGATGAGTCACAATCGTCTCGAAGGGCATCCTGTAAGCAGTACACAACATATTTATATGAAATCTGCATGAATCCATAAAGTCAATATTTTTAGATTGAACCTTCATTATTCCATTCCAATTATCACCCGTAGCGATGCGGAATAGAGTTAAAAAAGCCATGCCGAAGTTCTTGAAATGTGCATGTTCTCCTAATCCATCGCAAGGATGATCCTCGGAACACTCTGAAGCATAAGAAGTCTACATCGTCCTTGCAAAGTTCTAATTCTGGCCAGAATTTACCAAGCTTTCCGAACAGCTCAACACCAAGAGCGGCAAAAATGAAAAAGAGTAGAAAGAACAGCGAACCAAGATTTCCAACCTAAAAAATCATTATGGATATATCGACTACTTCATGAATACACAATAGCATTGCAGATTTTGTGAATTGGTGATTGTATATTTATTATTATCCAACGAAATTTCTAGATTTGCACAAATTGTAGGAGCTACAAGAACGTCCTCTCTTACCTGTGGAAGCGCTTCTCCAACAGTGTCCAACAAAGATCGAATACCCTTGGCCATCTTAAGCAGTTTCAACACTGGAAAGAACTTTGTTATTAGAAAATTACGATGAATTGCTGTAATTTTGCGTTAGAAAATCTTTCTTCTTAAATTTTTCTTCATTTTGAAAGTCTAACATATGTACTTAGAAGAGGAAACAAATTGACTGATGTTGACAAATTCAACTAAACAGAAGCAGCAAATTAGTGTTTCATGAGTGTGCAACGAGCTTCGTGGAACTAGTTGGCCCCACGATTTTTTTAAGAGGATAGTTCTTGGATTTTGACTGGGCAAAGTTTCCTGATAAGCCGATATGCCCAAAATTGAAATTTTGTTTTACACTTTGCAACTAGACAATGTAAGTATGCATTTTTCCCTCCAGGTTCTTTTCACGTGTGTACACTGCGCAAAATACGCAAAAGCTCACCTCTGGCGATACGCAGCACTCTCATCACTCTGATGATTGTTGGGTTTATGGGCAGTTCCAAAGCTTCAAATTCTTCGAAAATGATACCGGCAACAGAAAGAAAGACAATGAACATATCAAGGCGGTTCCATCTAAAAAGGCATTCAATGCGGAGATAAACGAAATTGACAAGTTTGTTCTTTACCTTTCACTGAAGAACCTTCTCACGCCAAGAGCAACAAGTTTCATTGCTGCTTCAAGTGTAAACACGGCTGTGAAAAAATAATTTAAAGCTTTTAGAACATACTTTAACCCTGGCGGCATCATGTAGAACTCCATAGCCATGGATATTACATTGATGCCTTAAACAATTTCGTAATACTTAAACGAAAATCTCATTATTCCGACGTATGCGATCATACCTATAACAGCCGCTATGGCCAGGTCGAAGTACTTCGATGTAACAATTCCATTTAGGAACATCCTTGTT